AAATAATATTTTTTTAAATAATAATACATTGTTAATTCATTAAAAACTGTTCATGTCCGGTTTGATAAATTATTATTTGTAAGATGAATTGTTTTATCAATACGAACATTTAGGTTTGAATTAATAACTTTTGTGTTACTTGGACAAACAACTCATTGTTAGTAATTAACAACATACATTTTTCATTATGAAGTATACATTTTTTTCAGTGTAGTGTAATGGTACATTCAACTAGGTATTATTAGAATTGTATRTTCTTCTTAAATTGTACMAATCTTTTTTAAATTTAAGCTGAAAAAGGTAGGCAAGTGGATCTTGGATGTTACTTTGTTGTACAGTAGGTTACAAGTGGGCCRTTCTATTGAATAATATTAAATTTGAACTCAAATGATATAATATCATTGTATATGAAAAAATTCTAAAGGAAGACGGTATATCAGCCTGTAATATTAGTTATTTCTATAGRTAGCCATTGTTCATGATATTATTGTGAATAAAGTAATTGATTTTAGTATTAGACATTAGTATCTACTACAGTAGGTTGAATTCATTTTTGCCAAAAGAATTATTTTTGAAAATGTCATGGTGTGAAKAAATATAAAAATCAGGCGTGGACTAGTAAAAAAGTACAAGGATTGTTATATAATTTAAAGGKCATAAATAACAAAWAAATTTGGGACAAATTTAAAATATGTAGATTATTTATAAAATATTAAAATATTTTATTTTGTTTTAATAAAAAATTGCAAATACATAAATACACTTAATTTTCTATAATAATTGTATGGTGAAAAACTACAAATAAATTGATGGTCTGTTATTAAACATTCTAGTATTATATTTAATTACCTTATAAACATCATAAATCTGATTTTAGGGATTGAAGTATAAACAAGTAGTAGATTGTAGATATATGATTAAATAAAACTACAAAGATAAATGGTTAAGTGCACTTAAGTGCAAAAGGTACTCATATGATATCTCAATCATAAATTTTTATGTACACTTCCAGTACAATAACTATAATATTAATAAAAATAATAAATTTACCAAGAMAAATTAAAATCTTTAAAAATTGAAACTTGATAACAATTGAATTTAAGCAAGAAATAACCAATAAAAAATGTACTAATATTTACTTATAAAAAACTGCTCAAACTGATTAACCTTTTTCCTTACTGGCTATTTAAATGAATTATTTATGATTATTATTAATATTTCATAAATAATAAATCTAGGCACCTACAATTGAATTACAATATTGTAACTTTCATCTTCAAAATTCACATTTATTTTAAGCAAAGTAATTAATTAAGGCATATTTATACCGATATTGGGSCAAATATATTTTAAGGCAAGGGATGCTGTAGCGTCCCAGCATCACAGACAGTCCGCGCCTGATAAAAATATACTCTAAAAGTTCCATATACCCATGAATAATTTTATTTAAATTACAACAAACTAGGTAACTAAAGTCATTATTGTTACGGCTTCAATATGTAATTTCGCCCAAATTTAGAATTAGATAAGAAAATATTTCCAAAGCTTTTTATTTGTTACCTAATACAAAGATAGAAAAATTGTCCATAGCACGGCCTATTATTGTTTGTTATACAAAATTCATTATGTGTAGTTTGAAATTCTACATAATATATATCTGTGTAATGATTAATTAATAAAACGTGTATATTATTAATTATAATGACAAATTACAAAGTACAATACTTGTGAATTTTTATTTAAATTTTATACCTACCTAACATGTTCAATATTTGATATGCTTTGATATTTTA